TTTTGGGGTTTTGACTTATTTCCCGTGGGTTTTTTTAGTATTCATGGTGTATTTGGAGTACTCAAAAAAGATATTTTGGAAATGTTTCGTGTTTTTTGGAAATGTTCCCCAAAAAATTTTTTTGGGGTATTCAAAAATTTATGGAGTGGTTTTTTAAGGTGTTCAAAGTAAAGTTGGTGTGGTGCGTATTAACCCTTTGTAATAAAGTAAAATTGTGACTAGTGAATTTTTTCGGAAAAAGGGTTTTTTAAATTTTAAGTGTTGTGGTGACTTTTTTTGATTGAAATAGTTAAAAAAGGGGAAAAAAGTCTAGGGTTTTTTTGTAATTTTTTAAAAAAATTGGGGATTGTTTTTGGGGGATTTAAAGAAAAAAAAAGTGAAATTATTTGGGTTATCCGGGTTAAGGGAAAAGTTTTTTCCCATGTTGTATGAAAAATTTTAATACTGAAGGGGGAAATCGAAAAAGATTCAGCCGGGGAAAGGGGGCCCTCACGTGAGTCATGACCTTTGGGAAAAGGGCGAAAAAAATTTAGCCCTTAAATGTGAGGGCACACGTGACCCTCACTGACCGCCGATAAACACAGGTGGGGTGAAGTCACACTTTTTTGACCTTTTAAAAAAAAAAAAGTACCCTCCCCATAGGAGGGTTTATTTGAAGCTTACCCCCAGAGGGGAGAATCCAAAAAAATTGATCCAAGGAGAAAGGGGGTCCTTTTTGGATTATCGGGGAAAAAAAATTGTTCCAGGAGATGGGGTCCCTTTTTTTTTTCGAGAAAACCCTTTATCCAAGGAAAATGGAGTCTTTTATTTCGAGAAAAAATTTTATCCGGGGGGAATTTGGGGTCTTTTTATTATCGAAGGGAAAACCCTTTATCCAAAGGGGATGGATTTTTGGGATTTTCGGGGAAAAACTTTATCCAAGGGGGATCATAAAAAAATTAAATTTAAAAAAAATCAAAAAAAAATTTGGGGTGGGGGGGAAAGGGGGGGGAGGGGGGAAAATTTAAAAATTTGATCCGAGGAGATCAAAAAAAAAATGAAATTCAAAAAAAAAATCGAAAAAAAATGGGGGGGGGGTGAAAGTGGGAGGGGGAGCCCCCCCAAAAAATTTTATTCAGGAAATGGGGGAGCACAAGAAAATGAAATTCCAAAAAAAATCGAAAAAATCGGAAAAAAAAATCGGGGGGCGGGGGGGGATCCGGCGACAAATGCAGAAGGCGGGGCGGGTCGAGGGCGGGGCGTGGGGGGGGGGGCCCGGGCGGGGAGGCGTGGGGGGGGGTTTAGGGGGAAAATGGGGGCGAGGGGGGGGGGGATCGTGGGGGGGGGTCGTGGGTGGGGGCAGGGGGGGGGGCATGGGGGGGGTCGTGGTTTTGGGCTTTGGGGGGGGGTCGTGGGTTGGGGTCGGGGGTGGGGGGGGGGGGGTGGGGGCGTGGGTGGGGGGCGTGGGGGGGGTCGTGGGTGGGGGGTGGGGGGTGGGGGGTTGGGGGGGGGGGCCATAAAAAGGGGTGAAAAAGGGGTCCATCAAGGAGACCGTACCCTGGAACCGTACCGTGGAGACCGTACCCTTGGGGGGGACCCCTCTGTAGAAGAGACCGCTCAGGAAAAGGACGCCCCGGGAGAAGAGACAGCTTGTAAAAAATCACCACTACTCATGTTTTTTATTTGGGTTTACGTTTTATTTTTTGTATTTTTCAGCACTCGGGGGGGGTCCCCCGCAGATATATTCTGACGCCAAACCGAGAGGAAGTTTTTACTTTCCCTTTTTCCAAACGTGGTGACGTTTGCCTCCCCCCAGAATTTAGTCAGGAGTGATATTGGACGGAGTCAGGGGGGTGTTGTTGTGACGTGAGTCAGGGGTGCTTTTTGTGACGGGAATCAGGGAGTTGGGGTTTTTTGGGGGATCAGTGAGTGCTATTGTGTTTTGAGTCAGGGGGGGCTTTTTGTGACCCTAAGTCAAAAGGGGGTGCTGTTGGGGACGTGAGGCAGGGGGTGCTGAGAGTGAGTCAAGGAGTGCTATTTTACTGGTTTTTAGCGTTTTTGACCCCTTTTGTGAGTTGTTTCAGGCACCCGGGATGTTTTGGGGCAATCCCCAAAGGGGTTTGGGTGTCAAAATGCACTGGTCCTTTTGGGGCGCTCCGCCCCGCTGTCGCCTTTGAGATTTAGAACCTAGACAGGGTGGAGTGCTTCTCGACTTTAAATCAACCCCAAGGGGAGGTGGGGTGTGGCAGGGTAGAGGGTTTTGGGAGGCTGGGCAGGGTTTTGGCAGGGGGCCCCGGGGAAAAGGGGGTGGGAGAGCATGAGCAGGGGGGGGGTTAGGTAAGGGCAGGGGGCAGGAGTGGGCAGAGCAGGCAGGGGGGGGCTGGGGGTGGGGGAAAAATTCAGTAGATAGGAGTTTGCGAGGGAATATAAAAGTAACAATAGTTTTTTTCCCGCTGGCTACTTGGTTAAAATAGGGGAAAAATCCAGCTCCCCATTTCCCCCCCCCCCCTTTTTCCCCCCCCCCCGAAAGTGATTGTTTTTAAATTTCCCGGGGCTGGTTAAGGTGGGTCAGCTAGCTCCCGCTATCCCTTCCCCCCCCCTTCCTTTCCCCCCCCCCCCCAAAGGGGAAAGTGTGGGGCCCGGTCAAACCCGTAAATCCCTCGCCCCACAGTTCCCAACACTACTGTAATACATGGCCCCATCTTTTTTTAGTGGACCCTTTTTGGTTGAAAGCCTTTACTTTTGGGCCCAAAAATTTAAATTAGTCCTTTTAGTTTTTTGATAGGTTTTTAAAAAGTTTTAATTTAAACACCCCATCTTTAGGTATTGTACTTATCATGGAGAGTGATTTCTTAAAAACATTTGGGGAAATTTTTGTCTCTCTTTACGTTGAAAAGGGCGAGAGGGTCACCCGCTAAACAAAGAGTAGAAAATTGAAGGAAACCGGAAATAACGTTCTGAGGGGTCCCCAAATTCCCGATCCCCTTACCTGTTTGTGTATGCAAGTAAAAGGGGGTTTTAACCCCCCATCATTGGGAGGGGGGTTTGGGGGGGTGGGGGTTTCAGGGGGCGGGGTGTGGCAAGGCGGGGGGGGGGTGATTGGGACTGATCGGGGGAGGTTAGGTGGGGAAAGGGAGGGCAATGTGACGGGGATGCGGGGTTTTTGGGGGGGGTTGTTCGGGAACCGGAGAATTTTTGGGGGAAAAAATTTTCCCGGAGTTGGATTTTCCAATTTGCTTTTCCCCCTTTTTACCCCCCCCCCTTTTTCCCCCCCCCGGAAGAAAATAGGGGTTTTGGGCTGTTTTGGGTTTTTTCGTAAACCCCCGGTATTTTTTCCCTTACCCCCCCCCAAAGGGAGTGGGGGTCTTGGCAAAAGGGGGGTTCACCATGAAAAGGGGGGGTTTAAACACAGGGGGGGTTTTTGGGGTCAAAGGGAAAAGGGGAAAAGGGGGGGTTTTGAAAAAATTAATTGGGGTCCCAGTTTAAATTTAAAAAATTGTTTTTTTTCCCTTTTTGGTTTTTACTTTAAAGGGGGGAAAAAAATTCCAAGCTGGGAAATTCCCCCCCTTTCCCCCTTTAAAAGGGAAAGGGAGGGTCCCGTAATAAGGGTAAAAAATTGGGTGGGCTCCCCTTTCTCCCCTTCTTCCCCCCCCCGGGGGTTTGGGTTTGGGCTACGGGATATCCCCCTCATTTTCCCCAAAAAAAAACCTTTTTTTTAAGCATCTGAAAAATTTTAGGGGAAAAAATTGGGGAAAGGGGGGTTTTACCAAAATTGGGCCCCGCCCCCCACCCAAAGAAAAAGGTTTAAAAAGGTTTTAAAATCCCCCAATTTTTTATTATTTAATTATTTAAATATTTTAAATTAAAAATTTTTTTTAATTAAAAAAAAATATATAATAAAATTAAAAACAAAAACTTTTAAACCCCAAAATTTTTTTTTCCATTTTTTTTTCAAAGGAGGTTTAAATATTTAAATTTTTAAGGGGAAAATATTTTTTTTTTTGGGGTTTTGAGGTAAAAAGGAAAGAAAGGCGGTTTTTTTTTTTTTTTCCCCGGGCCCCCCCCAAAAAATGAAAAATTTTAAAAAAATTAAAAAGCCCCCCCCGTTTTAAAAATATATTTTAAAATATATTTATAAAAATTTATAATATATAATATATAAATTTATTATATATATATTATTTATTATAAAATAAAAAATTTAAGCTTTTAATTTAAAGATATCTTTTTTAAAATTTTTCATTTTTCTTTTTCTTTTAAGGTAGGATTATTTTTTAATTTTTAAGTTTTTTAAAAATTTTATTTTTTAAAAAATAAAGTGTTTATTTTTTGTCATTTTTGTTTTTTTCTATTCTTTAAATTTTTCCTGAGGGGGGAACCCCCTTTGGGTTAAACTGTTGAAGTTGTTACAGGGCTGAGTAAGCCTTCCCAAGGGGCGCCCTTGCCAGGATAAAAATCGATAAATTTCAAGATTAAAACTCCACCCAAACTACCTTTGGGAAAATTCAACGCTGCTCCCAAGTTGGTACCCCCACCCCAGGATTAATCATTCTTAGGTGGGAAATACGGAAAAGGTTTTTAAAGATTTGGTGATTGTTTTGGGTCCCTTTTTATCAAAAAGTCAATTCCGGCAGGAAAAAATTTATTTTTTTTTCGCCACCTTTTTGTTCAAAAGCTTAAAACATTTTTGGGGATTAGATTTCTAAGGAGAATTTTTCCCAGTGCCCAATTTTGTTTCTTTGGAGCTCTTTATTTTCCCAAAGGGGAAACTGTCGTGGGGCCCAAACTTTGATTTTTTTGGGTGAGAAGTTTGGATGGTCAAGTGCCCCATTCAAATTACTGTTTGTCGGGGGAAGCCAATAAACCCTTCGTTTTCTTTTAATACATATTATTTAATTGAAGAAAGGGATCGAGCCCTCTTTTTTATTTAAAGTTTGAGTGGACAGGAATTGAACCCCCCTTTTTTCTTTAATACCCTTTTTTTCCCCCGATTTTTTTTAAAATTATTTTTTTTGGCAAGTATGGGGGAAATCCCAGTTTTGGATGAAGCTGGAAGTAATTTTGGAAATTAACGGGGAAAAATTTTGAACCCTTTAATTTAGTGCGGGATCCGGGAAAAAGACTTGAAAGAAAGAGAATGAGAAGAAAAAAGGAAAAAAGGGGAAAAAGAGAAGAAAAAAAAGGAGGAGAGAGAGAATGAAAGAAAAGGGAAAAAAAAGGGAGAGAGGGGAGAATTAGAGAGAAATCCAAAAAAGGGACAGAAAGGAGGGGAGAAGCAAAAAGGGGGCGTGATAACATGATCGTGAGGAGAGAGCTAGATTACGGAAAAACCAATTTAAAATTTAAGAGAACTTGGGGGGAAAGCAAAGGATAGAAAATTGGGGAAAAAACCCCTTAAGAAGTGGGGAAAAAAGGCTAGGGGAACCATGGGGAAAAAAAGTTTAAAAAACGTAAAGGAAAAAGTAGGAACTCGATTTAATAGGGGAGAAAAAAGGGAAATCCCCAAGCCCCGAAAATGTCCCTTGAATTGGGAAAAAAAAAAAGTTTTTTTAAAACCCAAAAAAATTTAAAGGGGAAGGGGAAAAATTGAACATCATGCGTAGTGCAAAATTTTCCCAAAACCCCAAAAATTTACCTCCCTCCCCGAGGGTGAAGACATTATTTCATAAATTATCGGGTTTTTGAAAATACCGCTACCCTCTGTAAAGGGGCCTGGGGCCCCTTTGGGCAACCAGGTTAGAAATGTTATTTTTGGTACGCTTTAAAATATCTAGGGCACTTTGGGGGCGGATATATATTAATTTAACCTATGAAAAAGGGGAAACCCTTTTAAAAAGCAATAAAAAAAACCAAAAATTTTTAAACGGGAAAGATTTAAAGGTATCCCCTTACAGCCGGCCAAAATTTTTCAGCAGCTACAAGAAAACCTTTCGTTTGTTGACTTTTGGATGAGAGTTCAGGAATTGATCATGTTAAAAATCCCCTTAGAGACTTAAAGGGTTTTGACCTTTCCCTGACAGCTTTTTTCCTACCAATCCCGAACATTCATTAAGAACGTAACCAAATTTAAAGAAAAGGAATTGCTGAGGCTGCTGCCCGTATGTGAGGTCAAAATTTCCCTAAAAAAAGCCCAAAAAGGGATGAACCCAAAAGGGAAAGGGGTTATAGACCTTAAAAATCAAACCCTCTAGGGAAAGCAAAAGACTTTTTAATTCCCCTGTTTGCCCATTTGTTTTGGTTTGGGGCCAATAAACGCCCAAATTTGGGCCCTTTTTCTAAGAAGGTCCAAAAATTGGAAGTTTGTTTTAAAAAACGAAATGACCAAGCCCCCTTTTTTCCGGGAACAGTTAATGGCTTAATGTATTACCTTTTTAACGAGCTTTGGAAATGACAGGGAATGGGCCCTTTTTGAAAAGCTGTTCCCAAAACCTTTAAAGAAATCATTTCTGCTATTTTTTTCCAGACTACTTGGGGGCCATACGGATTTTTTTCCCTCCCGTCCGTTGTTACATTAGTCTAAATGGTTCACGGGTTTGGGTCTAAACCCCGTTTTTAGCCCCCATCATTTTTTTCCCGTACAACGGTAATGAAAAAAGGTGCCTTTTTTTTTTTCCTTTTTTCCCCTTTGAGGTTGACCTTTTATCCCCAAAAGGGGGGACATAAGCTTTTCAGATCCTTTTTTCCCGTAGGTCAGAAAAAGCCACCAAAAAAAGTTCAGATGGGGAAAAAGTCCCCCGCGAGATTCATGGGGGGTTTAAAAAAACCAGTGATGCTACTCTCGAAAGCGGGGGTTGAAAGGACCCCCCGGTTTCCCACGGGTTAATGAAAGTAAAGATATACCCCTCCGGGAACCCAATTAAATGTCTTGACTTGGGCTAGACCAAAGCCAAAGGCTTCCCCCTATGTCCATCCTTTGTTTTTTTCCTGCTTTTTAAAGCCTTTAGATATTCAAAGGGGATTTCCTTGCAATTTAAAAACGTAATTGCCCTTCTCTTCAGAATTTCCAAATCCCGTTAAAAAAAATCAAGTTAAAAAAAGGGGGGGGAAAAATTTTTTATAAATTTGAATATATAAAAGGTATTTTGCCCCCCCCAAAGTCAGAAAACCAATTAAAATTAAATGAGATGACAATTTATTTTTTTTTTTTCCCAAGCCCAATGCAGAGAGCTGTTAAAAAGGCTATGCCCTTTTCCAGGGCCCGGCATTTCTCGCATCGAAAAAACCTTTAAAAAAATTTGGGGGAAAACCCTGTTTTTGGGCCAAAAATTGCCCTTTGATGTCACTCCTTTTTTGAAAGACCGTGTAAAGTTTGCCAACTGCCCAACCCTCCCGGGGAAACAGGCGGGTCCCTATGGTCAAAATGCCGTTTTTACGGCCCCCTTTTTGAAAGAGAAGCAATTGAAAAATCTTTTGGTCCTTTTCCCATTTTCATTTTGGGGGAATAGATATTTTAAAAAAAATTTTTTGTTTATGTTTCGAGTTTCCCTAAAAACCCGGGTTCCCCTTTAAAGACCAAAACAACTCGGAGGGGCGAAGCCCCTTTTGCCCATTTTCTCCGAATGGGCACTTTTGAGTTTTTTTTTTGCCGGGGGACAAAATTTCAATTTGATTTTGCACCCATTTTTCCCAAAATTCCCTGGGGGGGAAGTTCCCCCACCACCCCCTATCATAGCTGTAATGGGAGGTTTGGCGCCACCTTTCGTTTCCCAAGTCCTTTTTAAAAGGAAAAATTTTGGTTCCCTTAAAAAAAATTGGATGCATCTTTAAACCTCCCTTTGCTTTTTTTGCCATGAGGGAATTTCCCCAGTGACTTTTTTGGGGTTTTCCCCTTTTAAACTTCTCAAAGGTGGGACAGGCCAGAGGCCCTTGCCCCACCCTTCAGGGATTTAGGACTAATGGGGGGAAAAATGTGGGGTTTTCAGTCTTCTTCCCATTTTTCCTTGAGTTAAAACCAAATTGGGAGGAAACCTTGAAAAGTTTCAAAAAACAAAAGCTTGTCAAGGGGCCCTTTTAAAAAAAACCTTTTTTAAAATTCCCAAAAGTCAGGGAGAATTTTTTAAAGTAGGGGGTAAAGTTCTGGTACTTCTGCCTAAAAAGCAAATAAAATTTTAAAAGCAGGGAAAGGTCCATAAAAAGTATTAAAAATTTGGGGAAAGTTGATACCTCATAAAAATCAGGGGGGAAACCTAAGCTTTATTTAAAAACCCCAAAAATTTTTAAAAAAATTTTAAAACCAAAGGGAATTGGTTAACTGCCTTAAAAGTTTGACTTAGTTTTTCCACACAAAACTTAAAAAAAACAACTGAAGAATGAAAGGTTGGTAATTGAACCTCAAAAAAAAACTTGGGGATTATAAAGAAGAACTCCCTGATTTGGTTTGACTCTTGCCCAAAGGGGCCCGCAAAAACATTAATTTTTTAAAGAATCTTTTGGTTTACCAAAGAGACATGAATACTTCAATTTTGTGAGAAATTTTTTCGGGAGTTTTATGATATTCCAGGTGTTGCCTCCACGGTAGCCCTTTAAATTGAAAAGTGAGGAAAACCCTTAAAAAACAAAAAATTTTTCCCATTTCCCAGTTCCCCAAAGGGATGCATTGCCGAGGGAAGACAAATTATTAAAATAAAGATCATTAAACCTTCGTTTTAGCATATTCCGCTCACAGTAGTCAGGTTAAAAAAGGGAGGTAATTCATATAGACTTGCTATTGTTTCGAGGCCTTAATGCAAACAATCGGGGGTGCTGAGCCTAGCCCTTAATAGTTTAGCAAACTACAAAAAATTTTTATGCCCTTTTTCCTTCTTTTCAGAGATTGAAAATTCCCAGGGCAAATAAACAATTTAATTTGGGTTTCTTTCTTCAAAGCATTCCCCTTTTTTCCAACACCCCAAGGGAAATGAAGCAGAAATTAGAACTTTGCCCTTGGTTTTGGAAAATCCCTGTGCTACTTACGTGAGACTGATGAAAAGGTTTTTGGGGAAATATGCCAAATTTTTTTCATTTATTTTGAAAAATTTTTCGTAATGACACCCCACTGGGGCGAGCATATAAAAAATTTTTAACATCATTTTTACGTATTTTTACCCCAAGGGCCTCACTGCCAACCGAAGAAAGTTCCTTGGGGGTAAAACAAATTAGTTTTTTGGGGACGATATTTTTCAAATTAACTCTCTGACCCCCTCTCCCCAGAAAAGATCAAAGCTTTATTAAAAATTTAAAAATTCCCCCAAAACCAAGGGGCTCATGTTTTAGTTTTTTTTTGGGTTTTTCTGAAATTTTTTATCCCCCGGTTTTTTTTCCCGAACCTTACGGATTTTAAAGGCATAAAAATCCGATTTCCTTTAAAAAAGTCTTTTGAAGGAACCCCCCTTAAAATTTTCCAACGTACCCGGGGGAAAAATTTTAAAGGGAGAATAAAATATTTTTTTCGAAAGACCCTATATTAAGATTCCAGATATTAATAAAACATTTTTTTTAAAGAACTGATGCCCCCAATACTGGTTAGGTGCATTTTTACAAAATTTCCCCTTTGGTACCCCCTTTCCCCCGTATGTTTCCTAACCCGGGGAAACTCCTTCCCAGAAACGAGATCTCCCCTTAAAAAAGGAATGTTTGACCCTTGTGTGGGGTATCCCCAAAAATTTAAAATTTTTATTTGTGGGAAAAAAAATTTAATTTTAGAAACGGAACCAAACCCCTTTGATATACCTAAAAAAACTTTTAAGGGAACCAACATGCCTCTTGGGTGGACATTGCACTCCAGGCTTTTAAGTTCCATATTGTGTATATCAATGGTTCAAACCAAAATTTTTTTCTATGACGGTTAAGTCTGGACAGGGCCAATAAAGATTTGTTGCCTTACGCGGCCCTTTCCCCAAAGTTAGAACTTTTTCCTCGCCCCTTCTTTTAAACTCCTTGGGCATAAGTCTTGGTATGGGGGAGGTTGGGGGGAAAAATTCCCAATTTGATGGAGTAGTGAGGGAGTAAAATAGTAACAAAAGTTTCATTGCCCGGGTCTTGTTAGGTAGGGTTTTAAATCCAGCTCCCGCAAATTCCCCCCCCCTTTTTTTCCCCCCCCCCCCAAAGGATAGTTTTTATTGCCGGCTGGGTTGTTAAGGTAGGGTCAGTCAGCCCCCGCTATTTCCCCTTCCCCCCCTTTTTCCCCCCCTCCCAAAAGGTGTAAAAGTGTGGGGGTCTGGTCAAACAGTAAATCACTTGCCCCACAGCTCCCAAACACTGTAAGAAAATGCCCGTTTATAAATTTTGTGGACTTTTGGTTTTAAAGCTTCACTTTTGACCAATAAATTTTTTTAGTCCCTTTTAGTCTTGATAGGGTTAAAAAAGTTTTTTTTAATCCCACCTCTTTAGGTATTGTACTTTCGGAGGTGATTTTCTTAAACAGTGGGTAATTGTCCCCTCTTTACAAACTTGAAAGGACAGAGAAGGGGCACCCCGCTAATCCCAAAGAATAGAAATTTAAGGAAAAGGGCTAACGTTCCTGAGGGGTTTTCCAAAAATTTGGAAAAAACTTACCCGGTTTTTGTAAAGCAAATAGCAGGATAAAACCCCTTTATCATTGCAGGGGGGAAAAAAAACCTGCTTTCCCCCCCGTCTCTGGACGGGTTATTGACGGCTTTGAAAAACTGGAAGAACGACCCGGGGGTTTTCAACAAAAAACCTGCGACCCCCCCCCCATCAAAGGGAAAGGCTACGATTTCAACAACACGCTGTCCCCCCAACACCCGACACCCCAAATTGCGTTGAAAAACAGATATATTATATTTTTTTATTTTTCATTTTCTTTAAGGTAGATTAAATTTCCTATTTAAGTGTTTTAATTTTATAAAATTTTTTAAAAAATTTAAAATTGGGTTTTTGTTTTTTTCCCGTTTTTGTTTTTTTCTTTCATTAATTTTTCCCAGGGGGGAGCCAGCCTTGGGTTTAAAACCGGGGTTTAAGTTTTTTACAGGGGGTTAGGGAAGCCTTTTTACTGGGTTTGGACAGGGAAAGGGGGTAGCAGAGCAAGGGCTGGGTGGGCCCGGGGGGAAAGGCCCCCCGGGAGGCCGGGGGGCAAAGGGGGGGAGGGACCCGGGCAGGGAGGGCCAAAAAAAAGGGGAGGGCGGGCCAGAAATTTTGTATAGGACACTGCCCCCAACTCCCTTGTATTTTTTTAAAATTAACCCAAATAACCTTACTTACTTGACTCCCAAAAGGACTCCCCCCTTTTACGCCGTTTTCAGAAAAATACGAAGAAGGAGTGGAGGTCCTACTTACCTGGGAGGAGAAACACCACAAGAGAGGACAACCTTACGTAAGTAGAGGGAGAGAGAGAGAAAGAGAGAGAGATAGGCTAAAAAATTTGTTTGTTGGGATGTTTATGAGAGTGTGAGAGAGCTGTATACAGTGTCGTCAGGATGTTGAGACGAGGCGTTGCAATTTGCATTATTTATTACGTTACTTCAAATTGTCAAGTCAAGGTCATCTGTTAAGACTGAAAGTTCTTTTTTACAATCCCTGTGTGTGTGTGTGTGTGTGTGTGTGTGTGTGTGTGTGTGTGTGTGTGTGTGTGTGTGTGTGTGTGTAACTAAGCGAGGCTTCAGCTGGCATAACAGTAATTTAAATCCTCATCTCATTACCTTCACTAAATGTTTACTTTGCATCATCGAACGTCATCTCTCGTCTCGGGAGCGACAGTCTTAGTCCCACCTCAAAGGACGGAGGGTCGAGCCTTCCTTATGCTTTAACTGTTCACATACATGAAAGAATCTGTCTCATCCTCTACTGTCTCACTCGTTTCCACATGTGTGATGGAATTTACAGTATTCTTCATTCTTCTTTTCATTCGTGCAATCCTGCCTTCACCTCTGCCTGACACCCTGCCACCCTCCCTGCCACCCACCCTGCCACCCACCCTGCCACCCACCCTGCAACCCACCAGAGCTGGGAAAGCATGTCACGGGAGACGGCCACGTTCACTAAGGATATCACACCTATTATCCTGGCTGCCCACCATAACCACTACGAGATCCTAAAATTACTGTTGGACCGTGGAGCATCCCTGCCCATGCCACATGACATCAGGTGAGCAAAATGCCCATGCCCCACAGGGTGCCACCCCCTAACCCCCCTCACCCCAAAGTGCTTGCCTAGTTAAGAATCAAACATTCGCCTCAGTGGTAGGGATATTTACCCTCTCGTGTGGAAGCGAATTGTGGAACTGACTTGTGTAACATGTAACATGAATTGTTTTACCTTAGTTTCTACAGTAATGATAGTTTCTGCAAAATGACAGTAAATTTTTCGTAATAGTAGGAAGATAGTAATGGTAGTAGTAACTCGGCATGTTGAAAGTTCTCAATAACTGGATAGTCTCAGTTCTTTGGAAATTAAACAGATCACTGATAGTACTACTGCTGTCTCTATTACACTATCCAGTACCACCGTTACAAGTATGAGTACTACTACTAGTACTACTACTACTACTACTACTACTACTACTACCGCTGCAAAAATAATTACAACAAGCAGTACTGATAATACTAATTCTGATTCCTTGCAATTCTGACGTTGCTTCTGTTGCGCCGACTACGGCTGCTGGTGATGGGGCTGCTCCTGCCCCTGCTGCTTCTGCTGCTGGGGGCTCCTGATTCTGCTGGTGCTCTTGTTGCTCCTGGATCTGCTGCTCCTGCTGTAGATGTGGGTGTGACGAGTGTTTGATTTCCACTGAAGAGGATTCGCTGCGTCACTCCCTCTCAAGAATCAACGCGTACAAGGCTCTGGCTTCACCCTCCCTCATCGCTCTCTCTTCTAAAGACCCCATACGCACTGCCTTTGAGCTCTCTGGAGAGCTTGCCAGACTCCAGGGCATGGAACACGAGTTCAAGCAGGAGTATAATGTAAGTGGTTGTTGTGTTGATGATAGCAGATGAGGCAGTGGTGGTGGTGGTAGCTTAAGCAGTGGTAGCTGAAATGGTGATATTGGCGGTAGTAGTAGTAGTTGATAAAGTAGTTAGGAGTGTTATCTTTGAAAAGGTGGGATGGTCGTTTTTGAAATAGGGAGGTGGTGGTTAGTAGTAGTAGTAGTAGTGTTGGTATAATGTGTGTATCAACTGGAATATTGTGGGTAGTGGTTGTGGCGAGGTAGTAAGAGTGGTAGTGGTGGTATAAGAAGTAGCGGTAGTGATGTTGGTAGTTGAAGTAATGGTTTTGGTAGAGGTAGTTGACGTAGTGGTGTGGTAGTGGTGGCATCAATGAAAATAGTAATGGTAGCAGTCGTGGTGGTAGTGGTATCAATAATGGCCGTTATTAAAAGTAATAGTACTAGTAGTAGTGGAGGCAATAATTGTAGCATTAAAAGTAATGTTGGAAAGATGGTAATTCTTTGAGTAGCTTCTCCTTGACTACAAGATCATCTCTCTCCCTGCCCTCCCTGACTACAAGATCATCTCTCTCCCTGCCCTCCTTGACAACAAGATCATCTCTCTCCCTGCCCTCCCTGACTACAAGATCATCTCTCTCCCTGCCCTCCCTGACTACAAGATCATCTCTCTCCCTGCCCTCCTTGACTACAAGATCATCTCTCTCCCTGCCCTCCCTGACTACAAGATCATCTCTCTCCCTGCCCTCCCTGACTACAAGATCATCTCTCTCCCTGCCCTCCCTGACTACAAGATCATCTCTCTCCCTGCCCTCCCTGACTACAAGATCATCTCTCTCCCTGCCCTCCCTGACTACAAGATCATCTCTCTCCCTGCCCTCCCTGACTACAAGATCATCTCTCTCCCTGCCCTCCCTGACTACAAGATCATCTCTCTCCCTGCCCTCCTTGACTACAAGATCATCTCTCTCCCTGCCCTCCCTGACTACAAGATCATCTCTCTCTCCCTGCCCTCCCTGACTACAAGATCATCTCTCTCCCTGCCCTCCTTGACTACAAGATCATCTCTCTCCCTGCCCTCCCTGACTACAAGATCATCTCTCTCCCTGCCCTCCCTGACTACAAGATCATCTCTCTCCCTGCCCTCCCTGACTACAAGATCATCTCTCTCCCTGCCCTCCCTGACTACAAGATCATCTCTCCCCCTCCTTGCCCCTCCCTGCCTACAAGATCATCTCTCTCCCTGCCCTCCCTGACTACAAGATCATCTCTCTCCCTGCCCTCCCTGACTACAAGATCATCTCTCTCCCTGCCCTCCTTGACTACAAGATCATCTCTCTCCCTGCCCTCCCTGACTACAAGATCATCTCTCTCCCTGCCCTCCCTGACTACAAGATCATCTCTCTCCCTGCCCTCCTTGACTACAAGATCATCTCTCTCCCTGCCCTCCCTGACTACAAGATCATCTCTCTCCCTGCCCTCCTTGACTACAAGATCATCTCTCTCCCTGCCCTCCCTGACTACAAGATCATCTTCTCCCTGCCCTCCTGACTACAAGATCATCTCTCTCCCTGCCCTTCCTGACTACAAGACCATCTCTCTCCTTGCCCTCCCTGACTACAAGATCATCTCTCTCCCTGCCCTCCCTGACTACAAGATCATCTCTCTCCCTGCCCTCCCTGACTACATGATCATCTCTCTCCTTGCCCTCCCTGACTACAAGATCGTCTCTCTCCCTGCCCTCCCTGACTACATGACCATCTCTCTCCCTGCCCTCCCTGATTACAAGATCATCTCTCTCCCTGCCCTCCTTGACTACAAGATCATCTCTCTCCCTGCCCTCCCTGACTACAAGATCATCTCTCTCCCCTCCCTGACTACATGATCATTTCTCTCCTTGCCCTACCTGATTACAAGATCGTCTCTCTGTAGACAGCCTGTACTGTCTGTACAGACAGCTTATGCTGTCTACCAGCTTAGTTCATATTTCGCGGCACTCAGGTGCTGCCCTCTCTCGGCCTGCCCAGGTCAGTGGGACGCTGGTCCCACTCGCACTCGCTCACTCACTCAGCGGCCTAGAAGCAGTCAACAGTCCTACTAGCTCGTGGGCATGGCCCTCCTGGGCCATGGGCACTTAACACACAAGCCTGTGTACCCACCACGACTTTGCAAATAAAGTAAAGCCTCCGAAGACGTTTATCAATTGAACCCCACACTGCAAGAGTCACCAAACTGGTTATAAATGGTGGGAAGCAGTGGTCGCAGCAAGTTGTGTTTGCCTGGAGAGAGGAAGGAAATAGAATGAAGTTGTGTTCACTTCATCACCCTACATTAGAAACATCCGTCTCTCAACGAGTTATCCTGATGTCGTGTCTGCACGTTTCAGCATCCTGACACAGGTACAAGAAGGATTTGGCCGACATTTCCCAAATTTCTTCGAGAAATATAAGTAGTGTCCCAGTAACTCCATGCTACAGCGTCCCACACTGTTTCTCAAGTCACGTGTTCAGTGTCACTTGTATATTCTGCTGTTGTTGTTCAGCTCAGTGCAGCTATTTCAGCAAGCCAGAGGTGAGTTTTGTGGTGATTTCTGCATCCAGAGTGAGTTTCTCCACGTGTTTGTGGGAGAACAGGAGGAAGTGACCGGTTCCTACCTCACTCACACCTCACCCGCCTACCACCACTATGTGTTCACTCCCTCTGCTGTGTTTTCTGCTGTTTTCTGTGTGAACTGATTGCCAGAGCTGTGTATCCGAGTGCCCAACCACTCGAAGCCACGTGGATCAGCAAGCCACATGGATCAGCAAGCCACATGGATCAGCAACCCACATGGATCAGCAACCCATGTGGATCAGTATGTCACGTAGATCACGATACCACGTGGATCACGACGCCACATGGGGTGTGGACGAAGCCACGTGGATCTACGAGCCACATGAGTTACCGATGCTGCTGCACGACGTCACAGTGCTGATGACGTCACTCCTGACATCACATGATGTCACATCGAGTGTTTCAGTAATTATGTCAGTATTATCGAGAAGATTGAGAGAAGACATATGTCATATTAATTCCTCTCAGTCAGTGTATGGCTTAGTGTCATTTTTGTGCACAGAAAAGCATCATTTGCTAGTTTAAGCCATGTTGTACTGCATGTACCATGGGTGTGTGTAAAGTTTCCATGTGTCCTGTGTGATCTCGAGCCCAGCTGTGTGTCGACCACAGGTCTGCGGCCAGACCCCTGTGTAGCTCTTTGTTGCCTGTCACCCGGTGTGACCACTGTGTTTGACAGCTGATATTAGTCAGCCTGAGCGTATGAGCCCATTTGTACAGAAAGCTCTTATGCTCGTCGCTCATAGATGCTCTGCAGAATCGTACCTGCTACGATTCCCATTGATATTTGTTTCACTTCACCTCCAGACCTTCAGAGTGCAGTTATATGTAGAGAAAGAAGTCTGGGGATGCTTAGACTAACCTCTGCTATAACTCCAACTGCCGAGAGAATGACACTCGTCAAGCCGCAGTTAGCCCTGTCGGCAGGCGGTGTTTCAGCCTCGTGTAATAAGCTTCAGTGAACTCCTGCACAAAGATGATGTCACTTTGACTGCTAGCTCGCTCACTGCAGTCTGGTGTATGATGTTACGACTCCCAGATGTTTTGCCCAGTCGTCTCTACCACGACTCACTCCATGACTCACTCCACACTCGCCGGCAGTGACAGCCCAGTGACAGTACCAGTCAAGAAGTGTCCTCCTGAGTTGCTTGCCAGAAGTCCTGCCCAGTTGCCGAGTTTTGTCGATGCCTCACTCGAGGACACCAGCATGTCGTGCCCCAGGTTGAGTGAAACCTGCAGTGACTCCTACAATGACTGCTTCACCGTTCTAGAGGAGACCGTAACCCGTTACATCACAGCTCAGCCGCAGCGATGTCTCCTGTGTTGCAGTATCTGTCCAGACACAGGAAGGCGTGCAGTGATGTCCATCGATGCTCACTACCTGTGACCACGATGTTTCGCACATCCCACATGTTTTTTTTCCCTCCCTGTAGAAAGTTTTTTTTTCCATGTCCATATGTATATACATATTTTTATTTTGTGTTCTGTGCCCTGTTCCTACAAGAGAGAGACCAAGCTTTTTTTTTACCACCAGTATTGTCGCGTCTGGACGATGCGAGGTAGGTGGCCGAGCAAATGTAGACAGCCTGTACTGTCTGCACAGACAGCTTATGTTGTCTGCCAGCTTAGTTCATATTTCGTGGCACTCAGGCGCTGCCCTCTCTCGGCCTGCCCAGGTCAGTGGGACGCTGGTCCTCAACACACAAGCCTGTGTACCCACCTCGACTTTGCAAATAAAGTAAAGCCTCCGAAGACGTTTATCAATTGAACCCCGCACTGCAAGAGTCACCAAACACACTGGTTATATCTCTCCCTGACTACAAGATCGTCTCTCTCCCTGCCCTCCCTGACTATAAGATCATCTCTCTCCCTGCCCTCCCTGACTATAAGATCATCTCTCTCCCTGCCCTCCCTGACTACAAGATCATCTCTCTCCCTCCCCTCCCTGACTACAAGATCGTCTCTCTCCCTGCCCTCCCTGACTACAAGCTCATCTCTCTCCCTGCTCTCCCTGACTACAAGATCGTCTCTCTCCCTTCCCTCCTTGACTACATGATCATCTCTCTCCCTGCCCTCCCTGACTACAAGATCATCTCTTTCCCTGCCCTCCCTGACTACAAGATTATCTCTCTCCCTGCCCTTCTTGACTACAAGATCATCTCTCTCCTTCCATTCCCTCAGGAACTCCGTCAGAAGGTGATGAAGTTTGGCACCGAGCTGCTTGACCAGACCAGGTCAAGGACAGAACTCTCCATCATGCTCAACTATGACCCTGAAGGCCCCGTCTGGGAGGAGGGAGAAGTCAACTCTTTGGAAAGACTCAAGATGGCTATTAAGTTCTCGCAAAAATCCGTGAGTTTGCTTCTGTTGTTTGTCTGTAATAAAGAGGCATTTACCTAGTTAAACCATTATCTAGTTACTAGATTCTAGTAGTTTACACAGACCTAATGGAAGAAAGACGACGTTTCGGTTCATCCGAGACCTATATTAACTGGCGAGTGGCTTGGTAATGGTCAAGAACGGATTGAAACATCGTCTTGTTTACATTTCGCAACGTGTCTGTCAGCTGTGCATAGTTCCAGCAGCTGTAGAGTTGTAACGTACATGTGTACACCTGTTTACTGCAGACTTGTAACGTACATGCGTACACTTGATTACTGTAGAGTTGTAACGTACATGCGTACACTTGATTACTGTAGAGTTGTAACGTACATGTGTACACTTGTTTACTGCAGAGTTGTAACGTACATGTGTACACTTATTTACTGCAGAGTTGTGACGTACATGTGTACACCTGTTTGCTTAGTGCTTAATTATTAATGTATATTGTCAGAACTGTTATTTTCATAAGAACGCCTTGTCATCGACTGACATTTGAGAGAATGTATTGACATCTGTTGTATAATCTACAGTATTCTTAATATTTTCCAGTTTTGCAGTACTGTATAGTAAGATAAGTCTGAGAGGAAGTGTTGCTACTATAAACTTCATTCTGGGTATACATAAAACGTTGTCATCGTGGATTCAGACGCTCTTCTTGTGTGAACGTAGTCTGAGAGAGGTGTCAGCACTGCTGTGTATTTTGGACATGGCCAGTGTGGTACAGTTTGTGCCTTAGTTTTAATATTCATTTGTTCTGTGTGGAGAGTCTGTGTGTTGAAGTAATTTATCCAGGTATACACAAATACAGTTACATAGATTATCATACATAGCAGTATATGTGTAGAGAACCTGGGATAACCCAAAAAAGCCAAAGAAAGTGACTTATTTCCATTGGGGTCCTGTAAGTTGCATATATTAAACTTATGTTTAATGTTTTGGGCACTAATTCTGTGTTGTTTGGTGTAAACTCACGAAGGCGTTTGCTATTGCATCCTAACTATTGAGACGACTTAGTTTTTGATCGAGACTCACCCTGTTCCAGAACCGAGTGAAACTTCTCTGCCCTGCTGGTGTCAGCACGGCGTACTGTGTCGACCTGGTCTTTGAGTAGACAGCATCTCACTAGTACACGACCCCTAGTCGTGTGCTAGTGAGTCGCACACCTTGATACTTCTGCTGTCTTATGAATTTCGGTTTAATATATCTTATACGATTAATCTGGTGTTGAGATCAGAATAATTATAATTTGTCAGAGGATTAACTTCCACTTGACATACAAAAGTTTGATTTGTAATCAGTTATTACACAAATCTTTCTCTATTATGTGACTAATATTTATCATGCAGACTCTAAATATATTTGTACAAGACATCTTTATATGATAGGTGCATTTTACACTCCTTGTTTTATCAATAAAATTTCTAAACTGGTGAATAGAAATATGATATATATATATATATATATATATATATATATATAATATATATATATATATATATATATATATATATATATATATATACATCTCTATATTTCTAATGCTTCTCCGTGTCTCCAGTTCGTGGCTCACCCGAACGTTCAGCAGCTGCTGGGTGCTATCTGGTACGACGGTCTGCCAGGGTTCCGTCGCAAGGACCTCACAGGACAATGTGTGGAGGTGGCCAAGCTGGCCTGCATGTTCCCAGTACTCTCCTTCGCGTATATCTTCTGCCCCAGTTCCAGCAAGGGCAAATTTATCAAGAAACCTTTCGTCAAGTTCATCACCCACTGCGCCTCCTACATGCTGTTCCTCAGTGAGTCTAGAGAGAAAGAGAAAGAGAGTGAGAGAGGAATGACTGGTTTAAATAAACACGGTTACATGTAGACATTAAAACTGCTGTTGTGGCGTAAATTTTTAAGCACTAATTACCTTGTAACAAGCAAACGAGCAAGTGCTAATACAACAAGCAACAAAGGCTCAAATATTTTTTTTTTGTGATCAGACGTAGTCAGCAGCGTTGCTTTACTTTATACTACTTTTACTGCAACCAGATATGAAGTCTCAGTTGATTTTCAATTTCTCTCTCTCTTTCCCTCCGACAACCTAGTGCTGCTAGCGTTGGCTTCTCAGAGGATCGAATACATGTTCATCGAGTGGTTCGGCAATGCTTGGCTTCACTCCGTCCTTGAAGACTGGAAGCTGAAGGAGAGAGGCTCCTTTCCAGGCTTTTTCGAGCTGGCTATCATCATGTACATCTTCAGTAAGTCGTACTGTGTTCTTTGTGCTGACTTAAACTTCTACCAAATGATACCACATTTGCGTTTTCAAATATTTTTGACGTGCATGGCAATTTTTTTTTTTTTCGGCCATCAGTGTAGGACTCTTCATTGATTATATTTTGCTCTACGCTGAGAACATGACGTATTTTTTTTTTTATTCTTCCCTTCACTGGAAGTCACAATAACTCTGTAAAGTTATACTTCGCTGTGATCTTCTCACTTAAATCTGGCCAAGTGGCATAAGTACTTTGATGCAGAGTTGTAGGTTCGAATCCTGCTGTGGACAGGAGAGATAATGTTTGTAAATAACTTCGCCTGTCTGCAAATTGTTAAGCATTTAATGGTAAAGTCGCTGAGACGATCACAAGCAGATGTCTTCAGAAACAAGTGACTTTCTTTGCAGTCACCGGCTCTTGCAACTGAAAAACATCACACTTGAAAGTGCTATAACGTTATCAACCGACTCCTGCAGGTCTCATATGGTCTGAGATCAAATCCCTGTGGTCTGATGGTCTGCTAGAGTACGTCAAGGACCTGTGGAACATCATCGATTACATCACCAACATGTTCTTCATGACGTGGCTCCTGATGCGAGCCACATCCATCTTCCTGGTACAGAAGGATCTTTGGAATGGGATCTGGCCATACTACCCTCGTGAAGCTTGGGATCCCTACGACCCACTCCTCATCTCCGAAGGATGCTTTGGTGCAGCCATGATCTTCAGGTGAGATGATGGAAGTGATGCTGAGGGGGAAATGATATGGGTGATGTGGGAGATGAAGGAATGAAGGAAAGTTGCCGTAGGCCTACTGGCCTATACTTAGCAAGTATTCTCAAATCCAACCCTTTTCTCTCTCATATTTATCTAAGAAATAAAATCGCAGTAAAATAACAACAATGAAAAAACAGTGAAATTCCAAGAGCTTTCGTGATTTCTCACATTACCACGAAATAACAAAAGAAATAACGAAAGCGCTTGGAATCTCACTATCTTTTCACTGTGGTTATTTTGCATGTTTATCTAACCTCTGTATGAACCTAAGAGTGACGTGGGACGAGGGCAATAAATACAATAGCTGAGTATACCGACAGTATGTAAATAAATCAGACATTAAGGGTTATGGCATTTTATATTGAAGACATTTCGTCCACTAGGGGGACTTTACTAATCCACATCAGGAAAGAGGAGCTTATGACGACGTTTTGGTCCGACTTGGACCTATGTGAGGGTTATTTGTGTGTTGTTTCAGTCACGGTATTGTGCCTTTCTGTTCTTTACCAATTGAAGTCCCTGGCGGGCGAAACGTAGTCACAATAAAATGCCATATCCGGCGTTGTGTGTCTTATTTACGTGTGAAGTAATGGCGCTGCTTCATGTAAATATTTCGCTATGAGGCGACATTTACTAACACGATCTGTTATTCGTAATCTTTGTTGATTCTCACACTCTTTAACCTCACAGGTAACAGCTCATGGGAGACCGAAACTTAGGCCGACGTTTCGGTCCGACTTGGACCATTAACTAGGCACTCAGAAAAGCATGTGTGACTACTTAATGGCCCGAGTCGGACCGAAAAGTCTCGGTCTCCTGTGTGTGTGTTTTCTGTGTATTGTTCCAGTCACGGTATTGTATTTAGGAACTTCTAAACAACCCCTAACACCCTAGGAGTCTAACCACTAATAATACATCCTTGACAACTGCAGCGCCTCCGTCAGTAACACACCACCACCACCACCACCACCACCACCACCACCACCACCACCACCACCACCACCACCACCATCACCACCACCACCACCACCACCACCACCACCACCAACACAACAGCTTACGAACACTATCCTCTTCCTCAAGCGCATCTTTGATATTACCTCTCCCTGGCAGCTTCCTGAAACTGGTGCACATCTTCAGCGTGAACCCACACCTGGGACCTCTGCAGATCTCCCTTGGAAGAATGATCTTCGATATCCTCAAGTTCTTCTTCCTCTACACGCTGGTCCTCTTTGCATTTGGCTGTGGTAGGTATTGGCGTAGTCGTCTGCATCTCTCTCTCTCTCTCTCTCTCTCTCTCTCTCTCTCTCTCTCTCTCTCTCTCTCTCTCTTTTTTTTTTTTTTTTTTTTTTTTTTTTTTTTTTTTTTTTTTTTTTTTTTTTTTTTTTTTTTTACACAGGGTTTGACAAGGTTAAGGATCCCTAGCTTTATTGACAAGCTATTTACAGGTTAAGGATTCCTAACTTTATTGGCAAGCTAAGAGCTGTTACCTACATCAGCTCACTTGAAAGCATTTTTATTGTTATGAGACATACAAGTAGGGAACAGGATGAAGTTGGAACCATCTGTGGGCCAGCATTTTCATTTGATCAACTGACTTTATCTCGCTGACATCATTATGCTGTACTAATGTGTTCCATACTCGAGTCATCCTGGGTATATATGATCTCAGATGGAGTGATGTTCTGGAGAAGGGTACAGCCAGAGTGAAGTTGCTGCTGGCTGCCCGTCTTGTGGCATAAAAGCTTGTTTCACGCTGTCCTCGAAGTGGATCTAAGTGTGGTACTTTAACAATATTGGCCTTGTACATAACAGTAAGGCCAACCACTCTCTCTCTCTCTCTCTCTCTCCTCTCTCTCTCTCATCTCTCTCTCTCTCCTCTCTCTCTCTCTCTCTCTCCTCTCTCTCTCTCTCTCTCTCTTCATCTCTCCCTCATCTATGCCAGACATAGATTCACTGGTAATCTTGACATTTTCTTCGGTTTTAGCCAATCAGTTCATGATTTAGCATTATTTTAACGTGAGATTTGAAGACTTATTTTGCTGATTTACCTGTATTTATAATGTTGTATTGTGGGTGTGATGCAACTGTGTTGCAGGTATGAACCAGCTGATGTGGTACTACGCTGAGCTGGAGATGAAGAAGTGTTACCACCTGCCAGATGGTCAGCCAGACCGCGAGAAGGAGAGCCAAGCTTGCTTCATCTGGCGACGGTGGACCAAGTGAGTGTGTAACTCACCTTACTCACTGAGTTATTCACTCACTCAGTTATGATGGAGGGAAGGTTGACCTTAGTTTTTCAACTCCAGCACATTTATGTTTGAGGTGTCGTACCCACTAGTGAAGCTGTTCATGACAGATAATTTTGCTACATATGTATAGACTGTTCTGGTTTTTATAGCTACCTGAAACGGGGCAGAGAGTGACCATAAGGCTGACACAGGGCTGACACAGGACTGACACAGAACTGACACAGGGCTGACACAGGGCTGACACAGGGCTGACACAGGGCTGACACAGGGCTGACACAGGGCTGACACAGGGCTGACACAGGACTGACACAGGGATGACACAGGGCTGACACGAACTGACTACACCAGGATGAGAAGCTTTTTTTTTTTTTTTTTTTTTTTTTGACTTTAGGTTTGAGTGGCATCTCGCACCATCGTTGTTGTCAAGGAGAGCTTTAACTGTGTTCTTCTCCGATAGCTTGTTCGAGACATCGCAGTCGCTCTTCTGGGCTTCGTTCGGACTCGTGGACTTGGACTCGTTCGAGCTAACAGGCGTGGGCAGCTTCACAAGGTTCTGGGCCATGTTGATGTTTGGCTCGTACTCTGTCATCAATGTTATCGTCCTCCTCAACCTACTCATTGCCATGATGTCCAACTCATACAACATTATTTCAGTGAGTGAAACTTGTTTACGTTTTGCTCTGGCACTCTTGTTTAATATTACTTCTGCTGTTTTATATCCCTTCTGTTTTATGCTGTTGCTGGTTCGCGTCTCTTGCTTCCCTTTTCGATGGCATTGTGCCTCTCTTTTCCTAGTGGCACTACTAAACACTGCTAAAATAATCCTGTTATCAACGTCTGACACACAAGATTTTATGCGTTTAATTGGTCATTCCTGAGGTAACTACCGTAGGTTGCATGCTGACCACTAACTGATCGGAGGTCTTCCTTCAGGAGCGTTCAGACATGGAGTGGAAGTTCGCTAGGACCAAGCTGTGGCTCAGCTACTTCGAAGACGGAGCCACTGTTCCTCCACCCTTCAACGTAATCCCTTCACCCAAAAGCTTCATCAAGCTCTTGGGCCTGGCGAAGGAGAAAATCAGAGGATCCTTTAAGGCTAAGGTGAGGTAGAAGCTAGGAGATCAGAGTCCTTCAAGGCTAATGTGAAAAGGGGGCAAAATGGAGAGAATTTCAGAGGTTCTCCAAGATTAAAGCATAGGCTGGGAGATCAGAAAGTTCTTCAGAGCTTAGGTAAAGCATCGGCTGGGAGATCAAAAGACCCAGCAAGGGCTATGAGATCAAAAGATCCTTCAAGACTAAGGAATGGCAAGGGTTGGGAAAGTAAATCTTGGGCCCTTCAAAGCCAGGATGAGCCAAGAGTATTTTTCATATTGCAGTTCTTGAGGTGAGCTCAGGCTGTTTAATTTCTTTCCCCTCCCTCTCTCTCTCTCCCTCTCTGTGACTGTAAAAACAAAAGCACTACAGATACTACTATTACTACTACTGCTACTACTACTGCTACTACTACTACTACTACTACTACTACACTACTACTACTACTAATACTAATACTAATACTACTACTACTACTACTAATAATAATAATAATAATAATAATAATAAAAATAATAATAATGGTAGCAATCCTCACAAAGTGTGTCTACATCTTTATTGCCACAGTCACGGAAGATGGCGGAGCAGAAACACGCTAACGTGATGCGTCTGCTGGTGCGTCGCTACATCACTGAGCAGCAGAGGAGAGCTGATGAAAGGAGAGTCACTGAAGACGACATCAACGAGGTCAAACAAGACATATCCACCTTCAGGTATATCTTAGCCATGGTCCCTAGTCCCTGGCAGGGCAGGGACACGAGGGGGATACAAGCCTTTCCCTGACCTAGAACTTTAAAGTTATAATATGTAGTATATGATATAGTAATTAGAAAATGTTATCGTAATAAATTAAAGCCAGCCTAGGCACCATTAGCGGTATTAGGATATTTGTGCTTGTAAATTAGGCCTGTAGACCGAGGCTGTAATTACTATCAAATGTCTGCTGTATAAGACCCCCTCCCACCTCTTCCTCCTTCAGACTATGTGCCTGCCGGAACGTTCCCTTTGTCTACCTGGTTGTCTGTCTGGTAGCTGGTTGGCTGCTGGCTGGTTGGCTGGATGGCTGGCTGGCTGGCTGGCTGCTGGAATTTATATGAATGTCTGTCTGTTTGTCTTTTCTCTCTCTCTCTCTCTCTCTCTCTCTCTCTCTCTCTCTCTCTCTCTCTCTCTCTCTCTCTCTCTCTCTCTCTCTCTCTCTCTCTCTCTCTCTCTCTCTCTCTCTCATAAAACCATGGACCACAATAAAACAAAGCGACGTAACTCAGACCATCCTCAGTTCAACCAAGGTTCTCATGTCATTGTCCTCGTGTTTCAGATACGAACTCGTAGATATTCTTAGGAACAACGGAATGAACACTTCAATGGTCCATGCTGAAGACACTGGTGAGTACATATTGAGACCCGCGGGGGTCTTAAAAACCTATAAGATGGCTCTGATTATAAATAATACTCTAGTACATGTATTCCCATATGAATTGTGTATTGTTACTGATTATTTCAAGTGGTTCGAGTCCTCTGAGTAGCACTGTAGAACTGGGTGTCTCTGGTTTCCTTTCAGCTGTGATCGGCAAGAAAGGTCGAGCCATGGAGCGTCGACTCCTGAAGGGCTTCAACATCGGACTGGTGGAAGGTATCATCACTGATATCCTCACCAGCGAGAAGAAACCCAAGAACATCTTCGGCAAGCTGGCCCGCGCCATCGGCAAGAAGAAGAAGGAAGACTGGAACGCCAGGGTCTCGCGAGCCTCCACGCACCGGGACCAGATCGGCTCCTCTGAGACCAGTCTCATGAGGTCTCAGACCTCCATCAAGAGACGTATACAGTACGAGAACGAGATGCTGCTCAAGTCTCTTAACCCAGAGAAAATCGCAGAATATAACCCTAATTTGGAGATTCACACGCCCACCACCCGTATCGCCTACGCCAGGTTTAAGGTTAATACCCTCAAGAAGGAGAAAGAGAGGAAGCTGGCGGAGGAAAACAAGGCGGCCGCTCAGGAGAAGGCCGGAGTAGCGAACCAGATGTTGAAGATCGAAAAGATGCAGCAAAATGCAAGCAAACCATTCGTATCGAGGAGCCCGTCTCCTCTCGCTCCTCTTGGCACTAGTCCAGACAGCGTTCCTAAATCAGCTGTCGCATATCACCTCAAGCCTGAAGTAGTTCCCAAGACTCCAGATCAGTCAGTTTCAAAGCCTACCCCGACTCAGGATGTCAAGCCTGCCCAGACTCAGGATGTCAAGCCTGCTCCGACTCAGGATGTCAAGCCTGCCTCGGCTCAGGATGCCAAGCCTGCCCTAACTCAAGATGCTAAGCCTGCCTCGACTCAGGATGCCAAGCCTGCCCTAACTCAAGATGCTAAGCCTGCCTCGACTCAGGATGCCAAGCCTGCCTCAATTAAAGATGCCAAGCCTGCCCCACCTCAGGATGCCAAGCCTGCCCCACCTCAGGATGCCAAGCCTTCCCTACCTCAGGATGCCAAGCCTGCCCCACCTCAGGATGCCAAGCCTGCCTCACCTCAGGATGCTAAGCCTGCTTTAATTAAAGATGCTAAGCCTGCCCCACCACAGGATATCAAACCTGCACCACCTCAAGATGCCAAGCCTGCTCAACGCCAGGCTCCCAAGCCCTCTAAGCCCAGTGGAAGCAGCGTGCTCCTGCCTCTGGCCACCAGTACTCCGTTAGTACCCTCTAGACCCAGACCAGGAAAGTTGGCAGTGCCCAAAGCCTTCCAGCATGAAGCCCAGCAGCATCTTCCACCGCCCCGCACGAAGCCTCCGCCCAGACAGATTGTTCAGTTTCCAGCCAGCCCTGCCCAGAAATTCCAGACTAAAGAGACTGAAGTAACTAAGACTCCTACACCCAGTAAACTGATATCTCCCACACCTTTCAAACCCTCGTCAGGAGTCCCACAAGAACCCAAACCCACACCCAGGCTCCTACATGTCTCACAGCCCACTTCCATCATCCCAGAACTCCCCAAACTAACACCCAGCCTCCCACAAGGACCCAAACCCATGCCTAGCCCCTTGCAGGAACCCAAACCAACACCCAGCCTTGCGCAAGAATCCAAACCGACCCCTAGCCTTCCACAGAAGCCCAAACTCACGTTCAGCCTCCCACAAGAACCCAAACCTACCCCTAGCCTTCCACAGAAGCCCAAACTCACGTTCAGCCTCCCACAAGAACCCAAACCGACCCCTATCCTTTCACAGACCCCCAAACCCACGCCGAGCCCCCCACAAGGACTCAAACCCACGCCCAGTTTCCCACAACAACCAAAACCCACGCCCAGCCTCCCACAGGCACCCAAACCCCCACCCAAATCAGAAGTGAGTGTTTCTCATCTCTCTGGTTCCTCGACGCCAAGCGAGCCCAGAGGAAGGTCACCTGAGACAATCTCTGCAGGTAAATCTCAGGTGACGGGTCAGGTCAGGACCGGATGGTTATAGATACAAAAAGTTATAACGGCAATTGTTAAAAATGGAAAGGTTAAAACTGTAGAGGTCTCTGAAGATTGAAAATAACGAGCTTCGGTGTATTTGGTAAAGATAACATCGTGGCTCATTCCAGGTATCTCAGTGTAACGGTTTTTAAATTAGAGCAGGTGAAAGAGAGAGTCTTGGTTGAAAAGGTATTGTGTGTGTGTGTGTGTGTGTGTGTGTGTGTGTGTGTGTGTGTGTGTGTGTGTGTGTGTGTGTGTACTCACCTATTTGTGGTTGCAGGGGTTGAGTCTTAGCTCCTGGCCCCGCCTCTTCACTGGTTGCTACTAGGTCCTCTCTCTCCCTGCTCCATGAGCTTTATCAAACCTCGTCTTAAAACTATGTATGATTCCCTCCTCCACTACGTCACTTTCTAGGCTATTCCACTGCCTGACAACTCTATGACTGAAGAAATACTTCCTAACATCCATTTGATTCATCTGAGTCTTCAACTTCCAAATGTGACCTCTTGTTTCTGTGTCCCCTCCCTGGAACATCCTGTCTTTGTTCACCTTGTCTATTCCGTGCAGTATTTTATATGTCGTTATCATGTCTCCCCTGGCCCTCCTGTCCTCCAGTGTCGTCCGGCCGATTTCCCTTAACCTTTCTTCATAGGACATTCCCCTTAGTTCTGGAACTAACCAGTCGCAAACCTTTCAACTTCTCTAATTTCTTGACATACTTGATCAAGTGTGTGTGTGTGTGTGTGTACTCACCTATTTGTAGTTGCAGGGGTCGAGTCTTAGCTCCTGTGTGTGTGTGTGTGTGTGTGTGTGTGTGTGTTTGTGTGTACTCACCTAATTGTACTCAATTGTGGTTGCAGTGTAGACAGCCTGTACTGTCTGCACAGAGAGCCTATGCTGTCTGCCAGCCTTGTCCATATTTCACGCCACTAAGGTGCTGCCCTCTGTAGCCAGGCCTCTCGGTGGGCACGCCAGCCTGCCTGCCCTTGCCTCTGCCTCACTCACACAGCAGCCTAGCAGGAAGACACAAAGCCTACTAGCTCTCTCTTGTGGCCATGGCCCTCCCGGGCCATGGGCACAACACACAAGCCTGTGTACCCACCATGACTTAACTATAAAGTAAGAAGCCTCCGAAGACTTATCATTTACTCCCCGCTACCAGAACACCAAACAAACTGGTTATAAATGGTGGGAAGTGGTGGTCGCAGCAGCTGTGTTTACCCAGAGAGAGGAAGGAAGGAATGAAGTCATCTTCACTTCATCACTCCATGCAAGATGCATCCATCTCTTAGCGAGTTATCCTGATGTCGTGTCTGCATGTTTGAGCATCCAGACACAGGTACAAGCAGGATCTAGCCGAAATTTGCCGAATTTCTTCGAGAATTGCAAGTGACGTCCCAGTGACCCCACGCTATAGCGTCCCACGCTGTTTCTCAAGTCACGTGTTCAGCATCACTTGTATATTGCTGCTGTTGTTCAGCTCAGCACAGCTGTTTCAGCAAGCCAGAGGTGAATTTTGTGGTGATTTCTGCATCCGGTGTGAGCTTCTCCATGTGTTTGTGGGTGGGGGAGGAGGAGGAGGAAGTGGCCGTTCCTCACCTTGCCCATGCTCGCCCTACTCACGCTCGCCCGTCTACCATACACTCACCACTGCCCACTCCCTCTGCTGTGTTTTCTGCTGTTTTCCATGTGAATTCATTGCCAGAGCTGTGTATCCGAGTGCCCGAGGCCACTCAAAGCTACGTGGATCAGCATGCCACGTAGATCAGTAAGCCATATAGATCAGCATGCCACGTAGATCACGACGCCACGTAGATCACGACACCACGTGGATCCTGATGCCACGTGGGGTGTGGGCGATGTCACGTGGACCTACGAGCCATGTGAGTTACCGAGCCAGATGTCCCAGGCCTCATGCTGTGGTCTGCTGCCTGCATCACATTGACGTCACCGACGATGCTGCCCGACTTCATGACGTCACGATGTCTGCCTGACGTCACGTCGAGATGTCTGCTGACGTCACAGTGCTGCTGACGTCACCTCACGACATCACATGATGTCACATCGAGTGTTTCTAGTAATTATTTCAGTATTGTTGAGAAGATTGTTGAGAAGATATATGTCGTGTGTTAATTAATTCCTCTCAGTCAGTGTTCTCACATGTTAGTGTACTGCATGTACCGTGTCCAGTGAGGTCTGAGCCAGACCTGAGTAGCCCCACTGTGCTAAGTCACCCGATGTGACCAGTGCATTTGACAGTTGTTATCGGTCAGCTCTTAGCATGAGCCCTCTTGTACAGAAAGCTCTTATGCTCGTCGCTCATAGATGTTCTGCAGAATCGTACCTGCTATGATTCCCATCGAGATTTGTTTCACTTCACCTCCAGACCTTCAGAATGCAGTTATATGTAGAGAAACAAGTCTGGGGACGCTTAGACTAACCTCTGCTATAACTCCAACTGCCGAGAGAATGACACTCGTCAAGCCGCAGTTAGCCCTGTCGGCAGGCACTGTGTCAGCCTCGTGTCAAAAGCTTCAGTGAGCAGCCTGCACAAAGAAGATGTCACTTTGACTGCTAGCTCCCTCACTGCAGTCTGGTGTATGATGTTATGACTTCCAGATGTTTCGCCCAGTCGTCTCTGCCACGACTCGCTCCACAACTCGCTCCACGCTCGCCGGCAGTGACAGCCCAGCGACAGTACCAGTCAAGAAGTGTCCTCCTGAGTCGCTTGCCAGAAGTCCTGCCCAGTTGCCGAGTTTTGTAGACGCCTCACTCGAGGGCACCAGCATGTCGTGCCCCAGGTTGAGTGAAAACCAGCAGTGACTCCTATAATGACCACTTCACCGTTCTAGAGGAGACCGTACCCCGTTACGTCACAGCTCAGCCGCAGCAATGCCTCCTGTGTTGCAGTATCTGTCCAGATGCAGGAAGGCGTGCAGTGATGCCCTTCAATGCTCACTGCCTATGACCACGATGTTTAGCACACCCCACATGTTTTTTTCTTCCCTCCCTGTAGGAAGTTTTTTTTTATGTCCATATGTATATATATGTTTTTTATTTTGTGTTCTGTGCCCTGTGCCTACGAGAGAGAGACAGAGTTTCTTTTACCACCAGTATTGTCTCGTCGGGACGACGCGAGGTAGGTGGCCGAGAGTATGTAGACAGCCTGTACTGTCTGCACAGACAGCCTATGCTGTGTGCCTTGTCCATATTTCGCGCCACTAAGGTGCTGCCCTCTGTAGCCAGGCCTCTCGGTGAGCATGCCAGCCTGCCTGCCCTTGCCTCTGTCTCACTTACACAGCAGCCTAGCAGGAAGACACAAGGCCTACTAGCTCTCTCTTGTGGCCATGGCCTTCCCGGGCCATGGGCACAACACACAAGCCTGTGTACCCACCACGACTTAACTATAAAGTAAGAAGCCTCCAAAGACTTATCATTTACTCCACGCTACCAGAACACCAAACAAACTGGTTATAGCAGGGGTCGAGACTCAGCTCCTGGCCCCACCTCTTCACTGATCGCTACTAGGTCCTCTCCCTCTCTGCTTCCTGAGCTTTGTCATACCTCTTCTTAAAACTATGTATGGTTTCTGCCTCCACTACTTCACTTGCTAGGCTATTCCACTTCCTGACGACACTATGACTGAAGAAATACTTCCTAACGTCCCTGTGACTCGTCTGAGTCTTCAGCTTCCGGTTCTGACCCCTTGTTTCTGTGTCCCCTCTCTGGAACATCCTATCTCTGTCCACCTTGTCTATTCCCCGCAGTATCTTGTATGTCGTTATCATGTCTCCTCTGACCCTTCTGTCCTCCAGTGTCGTCAGTCCGATTTCCCTTAACCTTTCCTCGTACGACATTCCCCTGAGCTCTGGGACTAGCCTTGTTGCAAACCTTTGTACTTTCTCTAACTTCTTGACGTGCTTGACCAGGTGTGGGTTTCAGACTGGTGCTGCATACTCCAGTATGGGCCTAACATACACAGTGTACAGTGTCTTGAATGATTCCTTATTAAGGCATCAGAACGCTATTCTCAGGTTTGCCAGGCGCCCATATGCTGCAGCAGTTATTTGGTTGATGTGTGCCTCCGGTGACGTGCTCGGTGTTATGGTCACCCCAAGGTCTTTCTCCCTGTGTGAGGTCTGTAGTCTTTGTCCACCTAGCCTATACTCTGTCTGCAGTCTTCTTTGCCCCTCCCCAATCTTCATGACTTTGCATTTGGCTGGATTGAATTCGAGAAGCCAGTTTCTGGACCACATGTCCAGCCTGTCCAGGTCTCTTTGCAGTCCTGCCTCATCCTCATCCGATTTAATTCTTCTCATCAGCTTCACATCATCTGGGAATAGGGACACTTCAGAGTCTATTCCTTCCATCATGTCGTTCACATATATCAAAAACAGCACTGGTCCTAGAACTGACCCCTGTGTCACCCCCTCGTCACAGGCGCCCACTGTGATACCTCTTCAAGTACCATGACTCGTTAATGCCTCCCTGTCAGGTATTCCCTGATCCATTGCAGTGCCCTCCCTGTTATATGTGCCTGATCCTCCAGCGTCTGTACTAATCTCTTGTGGGGAACTGTGTCAAAGGCCTTCCTGCAGTCTAGGAAAACGCAATCAACCCACCCCTCTCTCTCGTGTCTTACTTCTGTTACCTTGTCATAAAACTCCAGGAGGTTTGTGACACAGCATTTGCCTTCCATGAACCCATGCTGGTTTTCATTTATAATCTTGTTCCGTTCCAGGTGTTCGACCACTCTCCTCCTGATAATCTTCCCCATGACTTTGCACACAATACATGTCAGAGACACAGGTCTGTAGTTTAGTGCCTCATTTCTGTTTCTTAAATATGGGGACTACATTTGCTGTCTTCCATTTCTCAGGTAGTTGCCCAGTTTCAAGGGATGTGTTGAAGATTGTGGTTAGAGGCACATACAGCATCTCTGCTCCTTCTCTTAGGACCCATGGGGAGATGTTGTCCGGTCCCATCGCCTTTGAGGTATCAAGGTCACTTAGCAGCTTCTGCACCTCCTCCTCGGTTGTTCGTATGACCTCCAACACTTGTTGGTATATTCCCTTTTGATGTTCCCTTCTGTGCTGTCTTCCTACAGCCCTTCCTGTCTCTACTGCAAAAACTTCCTTAAATCTCCTGTTTCGCTCCTCACATACCTCCTGATCATTTCTTGTGAGTTCTCCACCTTCTGTCCTCAATCTGATCACCTGGTCTTTGACTGTTGTCTTACTCCTGATGTGGCTATACAACAGTTTCGGGTCAGTCTTGATTTTCGATGGTATGTCATTTTCATACTTTCGCTGGACCTCCCTCCTCACCTGTGCATACTCGTTCTTGGCTCTGCGACTGATCTCCCTATTTTCGTGTGTTCTCTGCCTTCTGTACTTTTTCCATTCTCTATTGCACTTTGTTTTTGCCTCCTTACACCGTCGGGTAAACCAGGGGCTCGTTCTGGTCTTCCCATTGTTTCTGTTGTCCTTGGGAATAAACCTTTCCACTGCCTCCTTGCATTTTGTTGTTACATATTCCATCATTTCGTTTACTGGCTTTCCTGCCAGTTCTCTGTCCCACGGAACCTCCCTATGTAGTCCCCTCTTTTATAGTCAGGCTTTTCCCATTCAACTCCTGTTACTCTCTCCACTTGCAACTCTACTATGTATTCAAAGCACAGAACCACGTGGTCGCTAGCTCCTAGGGGACTCTCATACGTGATGTCCTCAATGTCTGAACTGCCCAGGGTGAACACAAGGTCCAATCTTGCTGGTTCATCCTCCCCTCTCACTCTGGTAGTGTCCTTAACATGTTGGTGCATGAGGTTTTCCAGCACCACATCCAACATCTTGGCTCTCCATGTTTCGGGACCCCCATGTGGCTCCAGGTTTTCCCAGTCAATCTCCCTGTGGTTGAAATCCCCCATAACCAGCAACTTTGCTCTGCTGGAGTGAGCTCTTCTTGCCACCTCAGCAAGTGTGTCCACCATTGCTCTGTTGCTCTCTTCATATTCCTCTCTTGGCCTCCTGCAGTTCTGTGGTGGATTATACATCACTGCAATGGCCGCCTTGTGCTCCCCAGACTGAAGTGTACCTACTATGTAGTCTCTCCCGTCTCGTCTATGCCTCCCATTTTCTCGAATTTCCATCTGTTTTTTACAAACAGAACAACCCCTCCTCCCCCTCTGCCCCTTCTATCTTTCCTCATGATCTGGTATCCTGGTGGGAAGATTGCGTCTGTTGTCTCCGTGAGTTTTATTTCTGTAACTGCTATGATGTCTGGGGACTTCTCATTGATTCTTTCTTGCCATTCCTCATGTTTATTCGTTAATCCATCCGCATTTGCGTACCAAACCTTCAACTTCTGTTCTCATACTGTAACTGTGGTGCGGGGGATGAGAACAGAGTGATCGGTGTGTGATGGTTGGTTTGGACTGTTCAGTTGCCTTGGGGGTGTCGTGGCTGGAGTCCTTCTGCAGGTGTTTCTGGGGGGTGTGCTTGCTCTTCCACTTGTTCCTGGGTTATTCTGCTCTCCTTTTTCATTTCCTCCCATTTCTCCTTTCGTTTTTGCACTCTCTCTTACAGCATCCTCCTTTCGTCCTGTGTTCTGTCTTGATCGAGGTACACACTCATGAACTCCTGTTTGCCTCTCAGCCGTGCTTTCTCCTGCAGTATCATGGTTCGGGTTGTGTGTGTGTGCGTGTGCATGTGTGTGTGTGTATGCGTGTGCGTATGCGTGTGCGTGTGTGTGTATGCGTGTGCGTGTGCGTGTGCGTGTGTGTGTGTGTGAGTGTGTGTGTGTATGTGTGTGTATGTGTGTGTGTGTGTGTATGTGCATGTGTGTGTGTATGTGTGTGTGTGTGTATGTGCGTGTGTGTGTGTGTGTGTGTGCGTGTGTGTGTGTGTGTGTGTGTGTGTGTGTGTGTGTGTGTGTGTGTGTGTGTGTGTGTGTGTGTGTGTGTGTGTGTGTGTGTATGTGTGTGTGTGTGTGTGTGTGTGTGTGTGTGTGTGGTGTACTCACCTAGTTGTACTCACCTAGTTGAGGTTGCGGGGGTCGAGTCCGAGCTCCTGGCCCCGCCTCTTCACTGATCGCTACTAGGTCACTCTCCCTGAGCCGTGAGCTTTATCATACCTCTGCTTAAAGCTATGTATGGATCCTGCCTCCACTACATCGCTTCCCAAACTATTCCACTTACTGACTACTCTGTGGCTGAAGAAATACTTCCTAACATCCCTGTGATTCATCTGTGTCTTCAGCTTCCAACTGTGTCCCCTTGTTACTGTGTCCAATCTCTGGAACATCCTGTCTTTGTCCACCTTGTCAATTCCTCTCAGTATTTTGTATGTCGTTATCATGTCCCCCCTATCTCTCCTGTCCTCCAGTGTCGTCAGGTTGATTTCCCTTAACCTCTCCTCGTAGGACATACCTCTTAGCTCTGGGACTAGTCTTGTTGCAAACCTTTGCACTTTCTCTAGTTTCTTCACGTGCTTGGCTAGGTGTGGGTTCCAAACTGGTGCCGCATACTCCAATATGGGCCTAACATACACGGTGTACAGGGTCCTGAATTATTCCTTATTAAGATGTCGGAATGCTGTTCTGAGGTTTGCTAGGCGCCCATATGCTGCAGCAGTTATTTGGTTGATGTGCGCTTCAGGAGATGTGCCTGATGTTATACTCACCCCAAGATCTTTTTCCTTGAGTGAGGTTTGTAGTCTCTGACCCCCTAGACTGTACTCCGTCTGCGGCCTTCTTTGCCCTTCCCCAATCTTCATGACTTTGCACTTGGTGGGATTGAACTCCAGGAGTCAATTGCTGGACCAGGTCTGCAGCCTGTCCAGATCCCTTTGTAGTTCTGCCTGGTCTTCGATCGAGTGTATTCTTCTCATCAACTTCACGTCATCTGCAAACAGGGACACCTCAGAGTCTATTCCTTCCGTCATGTCGTTCACAAATACCAGAAACAGCACTGGTCCTAGGACTGACCCCTGCGGGACCCCGCTGGTCACAGGTGCCCACTCTGACACCTCGCCACGTACCATGACTCGCTGCTGTCTTCCTGACAAGTATTCCCTGATCCATTGTAGTGCCTTCCCTGTTATCCCTGCTTGGTCCTCCAGTTTTTGCACCAATCTCTTGTGTGGAACTGTGTCAAACGCCTTCTTGCAGTCCAAGAAAATGCAATCCACCCACCCCTCTCTCTCTTGTCTTACTGCTGTCACCATGTCATAGAACTCCAGTAGGTTTGTGACACAGGATTTCCCGTCCCTGAAACCATGTTGGCTGCTGTTGATGAGATCATTCCTTTCTAGGTGTTCCACCACTCTTCTCCTGATAATCTTCTCCATGATTTTGCATACTATACATGTCAGTGACACTGGTCTGTAGTTTAATGCTTCATGTCTGTCTCCTTTTTTAAAGATTGGGACTACATTTGCTGTCTTCCATGCCTCAGGCAATCTCCCTGTTTCGATAGATGTATTGAATATTGTTGTTAGGGGTACACACAGCGCCTCTGCTCCCTCTCTCAATACCCATGGGGAGATGTTATCTGGCCCCATTGCCTTTGAGGTATCTAGCTCACTCAGAAGCCTCTTCACTTCTTCCTCGGTTGTGTGCACTGTGTCCAGCACTTGGTGGTGTGCCCCACCTCTCCGTCTTTCTGGAGTCCCTTCTGTGTGTGTGTGTGTGTGTGTGTGTGTGTGTGTGTGTGTGTGTGTGTGTGTGTGTGTGTGTGTGTGTTGTGTGTGTATGTGTGTGGTGTATACTCGTTCATTTGTACTTACCTGTTTGTGGTTGCAAATGTCGATTCTCAGTTCCTGCCTCTTAAACCAACCGTTACTACGGTGTCACTCACTCCTGTCTTCATGAGCACTGTCATACCTACTCTTAAAGCCGTGAACTAATCCTCAAGTTATGTATGAAATCTGCTTCTACCACATCTTCGTAGTCAGTGCCTGCCTGCCTGCCAGCCTCCACCTGAAGCAACACGTATCACTGTTCTTCCATCTATCTACATATCATCTGAATTTACATTGTTATTTGTAAATTGTAACTTGATACTGTAAACAGTTATGTAACATTGTACAGATACTGATGATGGTGAGTCGTCACCGAAACGTTAATTTAAAACTGTCTTTCCTGTTACATTATAGTATATATTATATATATATATATATATATATATATATATATATATATATATATATATATATATATATATATATATTCTAAAGTATATTTTAGGAGAAACTGAGCAAAATTCCTATAATTATCTTGTTTTTCAGTTGTGTGTTGTCGACTAATATGTATGTTTGGACTGTCATGGTAGAAGTCTGGTCAGAGCTGTACTGTTTTATTTAGTAAAGCTGAAAGTGAGAGTCTTGACTTTATTTTCTTACCCACTTTAACTGATTAGGAGGAACACACACACATACACACACACACACACACACACACACACACACACACACACACACACACACACACACACACACACACACACACACACACACACACACACACATTGGTACTGGAAAACTTCATGTACCAACACGTAAGGGACACTACAAGAGAGAGAGGAGAGGATGAACCAGCAAGACTGGACTTAGTTTTCACCTTGAGTAGTGCAGATATTGAGGACATCACATATGAAAGACCCCTTGGGGCCAGCGATCATGTGGTTTTAAGCTTCGAATACACAGTAGAGCTACAAGTGGAGGAGGAAGCAGGAAGGTCAGGGCTAATGAAGCCAAACTACAAGAAAGGGGACTACACGGAAATGAGGAATTTCCTGAACGGGGTTCAGTGGGACAAAGAACTGGCAGGGAAGCCAGTTAATTAGATGATGGTATATTTAACAACCATGTGCAAGGAGGCTGAGGAGAGGTTTGTACCCAAGGGTAACAGGAATAATGAAAAAAACAGGATGAGCCCATGGTTCCCCCAAAGGTGCAGGGAGGCAAAAACCAAGTGTTCTAGGGAATGGAAGAAATATAGAAGCCAAAGGAACCAGGAGAATAAGGAGAGCAGTCGTAGAGCCAGAAATGAATATGCACAGATAAGAAGGGAGGCCCAACGACAATATGAAAACGACATAGCAGCGAAAGCCAAATCTGACCCGAAGCTGTTATACAGCCACATCAGGAGGAAAACAACAGTCAAGGACCAGGTAATCAGGCTAAGGAAGGAAGGAGGAGAGACAACAAGAAATGACCGTAAAGTATGTGAGGAACTCAACAAGAGATTCAAAGAAGTGTTCACAGAGGAGACAGAAGGGTCTCCAGAAAGACGGAGAGGTGGGGCACACCACCAAGTGCTGGACACAGTGCACACAACCGAGGAAAAGTGAAGAGGCTTCTGAGTGAGCTAGATACCTCAAAGGCAATGGGGCCAGATAACATCTCTCCATGGGTCCTGAGAGAGGGAGCAGAGGCGCTATGTGTACCCCTAACAACAATATTCAATACATCTATCGAAACAGGGAGATTGCCTGAGGCATGGAGGACAGCAAATGTAGTCCCAATCTTTAAAAAAAGAGACAGACATGAAGCACTAAACTACAGACCAGTGTCACTGGCATGTATAGTATGCAAAGTCATGGAGAAGATTATCAGGAGAAGAGTGGTGGAACACCTAGAAAGGAATGATCTCATCAACAGCAGCCAACATGGCTTCAGGGACGGGAAATCATGTGTCACAAACCTACTGGAGTGCTATGACATGGTGACAGCAGTAAGACAAGAGAGAGAGAGAGAGAGGGGTGGGTGGATTGCATTTTCTTGGACTGCAAGAAGGCGTTTGACACAGTTCCACACAAGAGATTAGTGCAAAAACTGGAGGACCAAACAGGGATAACAGGGAAGGCACTACAATGGATCAGGGAATACTTGTCAAGAAGACAGCAGCGAGTCATGGTACGTGGCGAGGTGTCAGAGTGGGCACCTGTGACCAGCGGGGTCCCGCAGGGGTCAGTCCTAGGACCAGTGCTATTTCTGGTATTTGTGAACGACATGACGGAAGGAATAGACTCCGAAGTGTCCCTGTTTGCAGATGACGTGAAGTTGATGAGAAGAATTCATTCGATCGAAGACCAGGCAGAACTACAAAGGGATCTGGACAGGCTGCAGACCTGGTCCAGCAATTGGCTCCCGGAGTTCAACCCCACCAAGTGCAAAGTCATGAAGATTGGGGAAGGGCAAAGAAGACCGCAGACGGAATACAGTCTAGGGGGCCAGAGACTACAAACCTCACTCAAGGAAAAAGATCATGGGGTGAGAGTAATACCAGGCACATCTGAAGCGCACATCAATCAAATAACTGCTGCAGCATATGGGCGCCTAGCAAACCTCAGAACAGCATTCCGATATCTTAATAAGGAATCGTTCAGGACCCTGTACACCGTGTACGTTAGGCTCATATTGAAGTATGCGGCACCAGTCTGGAACCCACACCTATTCAAGCACGTAAAGAAACTAGAGAAAGTGCAAAAGTTTGCAACAAGACTAGTCCCAGAGCTAAGAGGTATGTCCTACGAGGAGAGGTTAAGGGAAATCAACCTGACGACACTGGAGGACAGGAGAGATAGGGAGAACATGATAACGACATACAAAATACTGAGAGGAATTGACAAGGTGGACAAAGACAGGATGTTCCAGAGATGGGACACAGCAACAAGGGGACACAGTTGAAAGTTGAAGACGCAGATTAATAACAGGGATGTCAGGAAGTACTTCTTCAGCCACAGAGTAGTCAGGAAGTGGAATAGTTTGGGAAGCGATGTAGTGGAGGCAGGATCCATACATAGTTTTAAGCAGAGGCATGATAAAGCTCATGGTTCAGGGAGAATGACCTAGTAGTGACCAGTGAAGAGGCGGGCCAGGAGCTTGGACTCGACCCCTGCAACCTCAACTAGGTGAGTACAACTAGGTGAGTACACACAAACACACACACACACACACACACGTGGACAGGCTGGACACGTGGTCCAGAAACTGGCTTCTCGAATTCAACCCTGCCAAATACAAAGTCATGAAGATTGGGGAAGGGCAAAGAAGACCGCAGACAGAGTGTAGGCTAGGTGGACAAAGACTGCAAACCTCACTCAAGGGAAAAGATCTTGGGGTGACCATAACACCGAGCACGTCTCCTGAGGCACACATCAACTAGATAACTGTTCCAGCATATGGGCGCCTGGCAAACCTGAGAATAGCGTTCCGATACCGGCTTAAGGAATCGTTCAAGACACTGTACACTGTGTACGTCAGGCCCATACTGGAGTATGCAACACCAGTCTTGAACCCATACCTGGTCAAGCACGTCAAAAAGTTAGAGAAAGTACAAAGGTTTGCAACAAGGCTAGTTCCAGAGCTCAGAGGAATGTCCTACGATGAAAGGTTGAGGGAAATCGGACTGACGACACTGGAGAGACAATAGGGTCAGGGGAGACCTGATAACGACATACAAGATAACACGTGGAATAGATAAGGTGGACAGAGACAGGGTGTTCCAGAGAAGGGACACAGAAACAAGAGGTCATTATTGGAAGCTGAAGACTCAGACGAGTCAGAGGGATGTTAGGAAGTACTTCTTCAGTCACGGAGTCGTCAGGAAGTGGAATAGCCTAGCAAGTGATGTAGTGGAGGCAGGAACCATACATAGCTTTAAGACGAGGTATGACAAAGCTCAGGAAGCAGAGAGAGAGAAGAGAGAGGACCTAGTAGCGATCAGTGAAGAGGCGGGGCCAGGAGCTGAGTCTCGAACTCTGCAACCACAATTAGGTGAATACACACACACACACGCGCACACACACGCGCACACACACGCGCACACACATACGTAAATTATCTCCATTCATCTCTCTGTCTATACATGTCGGTCTTTATCTTTGTATTTACCAGCCTATATTTCTCTTTGACGCTTATATATATATATATATATATATATATATATATATATATATATATATATATATATATATATATATATATATATATATATATATATATATATATATATATATATATATAGATAGATAGATAGATAGATAGATAGATAGATAGACAGATCTTCTTGACTGAAAGAGGACATCTGTAACCTTCAGTGCGCTGCATTACACTTGTGCCTCAAAATACACAAACAAATTCAATTGTCATGTAAGGGGAATTAAGAAAACAGAAAAATGTATATATGTAGGAAAGATACACATCCATTTTCTCTAACTTTGCTCATTTTCTATGAAAGAAGGTAAACAGTGTCCCTGACACCTGTGTCCACAAGTAACACACTCGGAATTTTTTCACTCAATTTAACACGCCACAAAATCTATTTCTAAACATGTTTCTCTGCTCCCATTAACCGTGGGAATGTAAACAAAAAAGTCAAGGATGTCCCATGGATGACCAGCGATCAAAACACTGACAACTTTAGAAATAAAGAGTTACAACACACCTGTCACCATCTAGTGGTGGTTTAACACACCTGCCACACTGGCTGGGACCCACAACACAAGTGGAGCCTGTACAGGAAGCCCCCCTGAGACTATTCTCACGTCCATTTGTACCTATTTCAGCATATTTTTGCGTGTTTTATGTATCTCCTCCGCGTGTTTTGGCGCCAGGGTTTCACTGACATTGTGAGTGTCATGTATTGAGTAACTTGACTTGCTTAAGAACTTAGGTGGTACGACCCCAGTGACTCGAGGCTGGACCTCTAAGACGACAGACAAGTAAGTTCTTTGAACTTTTTTGTATTAGTCTTCAAGTTAGTGTGTATTCTTGAAGTTAGTGTGTATATTTTTTATATTAGTGTGCATTCTTGAAGTTAGTGTGTATATTCTTGAGGTTAGTCTGTATTCTTGAAGTTAATGTGTATATTCTTGTGGTTAGTGTGTATTCTTGAAGTTAGTGTGTATATTCTTGAGGTTAGTGTGTAGGCTTCGAACTATAGACCAATAAGCCTTACCTCCATAGTGGGAAAATTTATGGAATCAATAATTGCCGAAGCAATTCGTAGCCATCTTGGCAGGCATAGATTGATTAATGAATCTCAACACGACTTAAGAAATCGTAATGACACGATTGCAAATAAACCATACCCCCGGCCGGGATTGAACCCGCGGTCATAGAGTCTCAAAACTCCAGCCCGTCGCGCTAGCCACTAGACCAGCTAGCCACAATAAGATTCATCCAACTAGGTATATTTCTACACCATAGGAAAGTTAGCACAGGCCCGTCTAGTGGCTAGCGCGACGGGCTGGAGTTTTGAGACTCTATGACCGCGGGTTCAATCCCGGCCGGGGGTATGGTTTAATCTCAACACGGTTTTACAAAGGAGCGTTCCTGTCTTACGAATTTACTAATTTTTTTCACTAAGGTGTTTGAGGAGATAGATCATGGTAATGAATATGATATTGTGTATATGGACTTCAGTAAGGCTTTCGATAGAGTTCCACACCAGAGGCTATTGAGGAAACTTAAAGCACACGGAATAGGAGGAGAATTTTTTTCCTGGGTAGAGGCATGGCTGACAAATAGACAGCAGAGAGTTTGCATAAATGGGGAGAAATCAGAATGGGGGCACGTCACAAGCGGTGTTCCTCAGGGGTCAGTGTTGGGCCCGTTGTTGTTCACAATTTACATAAACGACATAGATTAGGGAATAAATAGCGACATAAGCAAATTTGCTGATGACACCAAAATAGGCCGTCCAATTCATTCTAATGAGGACACTAGAGCACTCCAGGATGATTTGAATAGACTGATGCAATGGTCGGAGAAGTGGCAGATGCAGTTTAATATTGACAAATACAAAGTTCTAAATGTTGGACAGGTAAATAACCATGCCACATATAAACTAAATAATGTAGATCTTAATACTACTGATTGCGAAGAGGATTTAGGAGTTCTGGTTAGCAGTAACCTAAAACCAAGACAACAGTGCATTAGTGTTCGCAATAAAGCTAACAGAATTCTTGGCTTCATATCTATAAGTATAAATAATAGAAGTTCTCAGGTTGTTCTTCAACTCTATATATCCTTGGTTAGGCCTCATTTAGACTATGCTGCTCAGTTCTGGTCACCGTATTACAGAATGGATATAAATGCACTGGAAAATGTACAGAGGAGGATGACAAAGATGATCCCATGTATGAGAAATCTTCCCTATGAGGATAGACTGAGGGCCCTGAATCTGCACTTTCTCGAAAGGCGTAGAATTAGGGGGGATATGATCTAGGTGTATAAATGGAAAACAGGAATAAATAAAGGGGATGTAAATAGCGTGCTGAAAATTTCCAGCCAAGACAGGACTCGCAGCAATGGATTCAAGTTGGAAAAATTCAGATTCAGAAAGGATATAGGAAAGCACTGGTTTGGTAATAGAGTTGTGGATGAGTGGAACAAACTCCCGAGTACAGTTATTCAGGCTAAAACGTTGTGTAGTTTTAAAAATAGGTTGGATAAATACATGAGTGGGTGTGGGTGGGTGTGGGTGGGTGTGAGTTGGACCTGACTAGCTTGTGCTGCTGGGTCTGGTGCAGTGCTCCTTCCTTGAGTGGAGATGATCAGACTGGGTGGGTCATTGATCTAATCCGGGGGGGGGGACATGGACCTGCTCCGCATGGGTCAGTAGGCCTGTTTCAGTGTTCCTTCTTTCTTATGTTCTTATGTTCTTGAAGTTAGTGTGTATATTCTTGAGGTTAATGTGCATTCTTGAAGTTAGAGTGTATATTCTTGAAGTTAGTGTGTATTCTTGAAGTTAGTGTGTATATTCTTGAGGTTAGTGTATATTCTTGTAGTGTGTTTATTCTTGAGGTTAGTGTATATTCTTGAAGTTGGTGTGTATATTCTTGAGGTTAGTGTATATTCTTGAAGTTAATGTGTATATTCTTGAGGTTAGTGTGTATTCTTGAAGTTAATGTGTATATTCTTGAAGTTAGTGTGTATTCTTGAAGTTAATGTGTATATTCTTGAAGTTAGTGTGTATTCTTGAAGTAGTGTGCATTCTTGAAGTTAGTGTGTATTCTTTAAGTGCGTATATTCTTCAAGTTAGTGTGTATTCTTTAAGTAAGTGCGTATATTCTTGAAGTTAGTGTATATTCTTAAAGTTAGTGCGTATATTCTTCAAGTTAGTGTGTATTCTTAAGTTAAGTGCGTATATTCTTGAAGTTAGTGCATATTCTTAAAGTTAGTGCGTATATTCTTCAAGTTAGTGCGTATATTCTTCAAGTTAGTGCGTATATTCTTCAAGTTAGTGCGTATATTCTTCAAGTTAGTGCGTATATTCTTCAAGTTAGTGCGTATATTCTTCAAGTTAGTGTCGTATATTCTTAAGTTAGTGCGTATATTCTTCAAGTTAGTGCGTATATTCTTCAAGTTAGTGCGTATATTCTTCAAGTTAGTGCGTATATTCTTGAAGTTAGTGCGTATATTCTTCAAGTTAGTGCGTATATTCTTGAAGTTAGTGCGTATATTCTTCAAGTTAGTGCGTATATTCTTGAAGTTAGTGCGTATATTCTTCAAGTTAGTGCGTATATTCTTCAAGTTAGTGCGTATATTCTTCAAGTTAGTGCGTATATTCTTCAAGTTACGTGTGTAATTATCAAGTTATTTTTCAGTTAGGCTTTAATATAATTCAATCTAGTGAGAATTTTCAAGTGATTTCCTCTGTGTAAGCTTAACAAGTTATGTTTCAGTGTAGAGCTTTACCAATATATTAATTCAATCTGTTCAGGAAGAGACTTAAGCTTTACCAAGTCATGTTTCACTCTGTGTAGAGCTTTACCAAGTCATGTTTCACTCTGTGTAGAGCTTTACCAAGTCATGTTTCACTCTAGGGAGTACCATCATACCTTGGGACGAACACAGTTAGACCGTCACGTAATTACTACAGTTTAACGAGGTCATTCCTGTGTTAATTAGGGGGAGGGAGTGATTAACCTCCGTAGATAATTAAGACCAAGAATGTGCCTTGAATATGCTCTCTCTCTCTCTCTCTCTCTCTCTCTCTCTCTCTCTCTCTCTCTCTCTCTCTCTCTCTCTCTCTCTCTCTCTCTCTCTCTCTCTCTCTCTCTCTCTCTCTCAGTGCTTCCTTCAAGTCTTGGCAGTGAAGGGCTCTTGATCCAAGAAACAGAAGCCTCCCTCCTAATTACCTGTTTTCTAGGCGCTCTATAACCCCTACGGATTTAGCGCGTCGCAAAATTTAATGAATAATGATGTAACTCGGTCATACATTAGCCGCGTGACGTCACTGAAAAAAAATTCCCTTTCCCGTTATTCCAGTGACGTAATTCCTTGCGTCACCTTATCACCGCGGTGCGTCCGTCTTGCGTCAGAGTGCGCCAAGTGAGCGTGAAATAAGGCGGTTGTTTTCTGCTGCCGTGAATCCACAAACGGGTTATAAAAACGGCAGAGAAATGCGGATTTGTTTGTGGTACTCGCCTAATTGTGGCTGCAGGGGTCGATTCATAGCTCTTGGCCCCGCCTTTTCCTGGTGAGAGAGAGAGAGAGAGAGAGAGAAAGAGCTCGTAAGGATGAATGATAATTGTGGATGGCAGGCACCATGAACACAGATCTGGAAGGCACCATGAACACCCACCATACCTGGCACCCACGCCATGGTTATGGCACCATAATAAAGCCATCACATCATGGCACCATTATCTGGGTCATATGATGCTTATTATTCCCACCTTACAAGGTGAGGTGGATGTCCAGGTTCATTCTTAATGTATTGTTCAAGTCAATAGTCTCCTCCTCTGCCTCTTCCTCTTCCTCTTATTCTTTCTCTTCCTCCTCCTCCTCTTCCTTCTTTTATTATTATTATTACTGCTAGGTTTATTATGTACAGAGAGACATTTCTGTGTAAATACCAGCTTCATGAAAGATATTTTTCATGTTTCAGGTATAGTTGGCATAATAAATTTGTTATAGTCCCTGTGAGTGGCAAACAGAATAAGCTAATCCTGCGGGATTAGTAAATCCTGCAGGGTTCGTAAATCCTGCTTTCATTAGTGAGATTGTCACGAATAAAAGATTATTTTTCGAATCACTGATGTATTTATTTCAAACGATTCTTTTGTCTTTCAAAATAAATGAATCTCCTGTTGGACTGTCTTGTTGTTGGTCACCAGGAGGCTCTTGATACCGTTGATGACAATACTCTCCTCCTCGAGAGGCTCTTGATACCGTTGATGACAATACTCTCCTCCTCGAGAGGCTCTTGATACCGTTGATGACAATACTCTCCTCCTCGACAGGCTCTTGATACCGTTGATGACAATACTCTCCTCCTCGAGAGGCTCTTGATACCGTTGATGACAATACTCTCCTCCTCGAGAGGCTCTTGATACCGTTGATGACAATACTCTCCTCCTCGAGAGGCTCTTGATACCGTTGATGACAATACTCTCCTCCTCGAGAGGCTCTTGATACCGTTGATGACAATACTCTCCTCCTCGACAGGCTCTTGATACCGTTGATGACAATACTCTCCTCCTCGACAGGCTCTTGATACCGTTGATGACAATACTCTCCTCCTCGAGAGGCTCTTGATACCGTTGATGACAATACTCTTCTCCTCGACAGGCTCTTGATACCGTTGATGACAATACTCTCCTCCTCGAGAGGCTCTTGATACCGTTGATGACAATACTCTTCTCCTCGACAGGCTCTTGATACCGTTGATGACAATACTCTCCTCCTCGAGAGGCTCTTGATACCTTTGATG